CACTGGGAGGACGCAACGGTGGATCATCCTGCCGAGGTAGAGAGGGCCACGCTATAAAATTGTCTGTACCTCAGCAAGTAAAGAACAAGTAACGAATAATAAAGTAAAGTCGGTTCACGGCACATTCAGAAGTTAACGCGGAGCGCATTATATCATACTGTATTGTCATTTGTAATATAGTAGCGTTTCGATCGCATTGTCTTGTAGCATAGCTTCTTCTCAAGTTGATTGGCCAAAAATTATTGCAAAATGGAGGATCTTTCGAGCTTGATCAAACAAAGAGGCCGCACTAAGGCCAAGCTCACTGCATTCAGTAATTATCTCGCGCTGATAGCCATCGAGCCAGAAAGACAAATAGAAATTAACAGTCGTTTAGAAAAAGCAGAAGAATTATGGAATGAATTCGAATTACTACAAAACAAAATAGAAGATCTAGATAACTCTGACATGCAGGCGCAGCAGCGCACAACTTTTGAAGATTCGTATCATGAATTAATAAGCAAGGCCAGGCAAATCAAGCTGAAAGATCATCCAATGTATTCTCAGCCCGCGGCAGGCATATCTCAGGCGATAATTCAGCCGCATGCGGCAGCAATAAACGAAACTGCAATTGTTCAAACGCGCGCGATACTACCAACCATAGATCTGCCAAAATTTGATGGAAATTATGAACGGTGGGTGCCGTTTAGAGATTTATTTGAGTCACTTATAGCGACAAATTCGGTTCTTACAGCTGTTCAAAAATTATACTATTTAAGATCTGCACTGACTGGCGAAGCAGCTAAGATAATAGCCTCGTTAGAAATAACCAACGATAACTATGTTATCGCTTGGGAATTATTAAAAAATAGGTACGAAAATAAACGTTTAATAGTTCAGTATCTCATTCAAGCATTGCTCGATTTAGCGTCTATCAATAAAGAATCGTACTCAGATTTAAGGCAGTTGGTAGATAATGCATCGCAGCACATTCAAACCTTAACAAAGCTTGAGCAGCCTGTCGCCAGCTGGGGCACATTATTAATTCACATTATATTACCAAAGGTGGATAAAGGTTCGCGAAGGGAGTGGGAGTTAAAAAGATCTAACAGAGAGGAATTTCCAACTCTAGCGGAATTCATGGATTTTTTAACGAATCGTAGCATGTTTTTAGAGGCGTTATCTCATACGAATCGAAATGCGCAGCCCCCCAGCGACGCGCGCAGCAATAAAGTAACTCAACCGCAAAATAAAAATGTCGCTCAAGCATATGTTTCAACGGACAGGGGAGCTTGCGCAATGTGTTCCAAAAATCATAAATTACACGAATGCAAAGCATTTCTTAGTTTATCAGCGGAAGATAGAAGCGCTGAAGTGAAAAAGAAAAAATTATGCTTCAAATGTCTTAATAGTTTCCATGGTAGAAATTGTAAAGCTCCCAACTGCAAAGAATGTCCCGGGTATCACAATACATTATTACATAGGCTCAAAACAACTTCGGAAACTTCAAATAGCAGTAACTCAAAAACAGAAAGCATTGAGTCCGCGACGGCCAATCAAGGAGTTGCCGTTGTATCAAATAAATGCATAGCTACCTTAAATAATCATAATTTAGAGGGAGGCCCTCAAGTTCTTTTGTCAACTGCCGTCGTTTTGGTGCGTGATAGAGACGGTGCTTCACACGAATGCAGAGCCTTACTCGATAGCGGCTCACAATCTAACTTTATTACAAAGGAACTCAGTAAAAAATTAAATTTAAAACAAAAAACAATCAATATGTCCATCGGGGGCATAAGTAATATACCAATAAAAATAGCTCAACAAACGCAAGCAACCATTCAATCGCGCGTGAATGAATTTAAGACCGATCTTCATTTCTTAATTATTGATAAAATCACAGAACGATTGCCGATACACAAAATAAATAAAACAGCGTTAGATATTCCAAATAATTTAGAACTAGCAGATCCAACATGCCATATTCCCAGCGACGTAGACATGTTATTGGGAGCCTCTATATTTTGGGACCTCATAAGTGGAGGACAAGTCAGAGGATCAAATCAATCCATCGTTTTTCAAGAAAAACGTCTAGGATGGATCGCTGCGGGTCCAATGGAAACGACCAATGCATGTCAGCAGAAAAGATCGTATTGCGGGATGACTACAACCTTACACAAGCAATTAGAAAAATTCTGGAGCATAGAGGAGATGGTGCAATCGCCACCCGTTTCGGAAGAAGAAAAAATATGTGAACAGCATTTTCTAGAAACACATGCCAGGGACTCTGAAGGGCGATTCATAGTGCAGCTACCGCTGAAGGGCAACATAGATGAATTAGGCGAATCCATGGAAACAGCAACAAAACGTTTCAAGGCAATTGAGCGAAAGCTCAAACGGCAACCGGAACTCAAACAGACCTATAGCAGCTTCATATCAGAATACCTAAACCTAAATCATATGGAAGAAGTATTGCAAAAGGACGCACAATGCAAATTATCTTACTATCTTCCGCATCACGCAGTTACTAAGGAAGATAGCGAAACAACAAAGGTCAGAGTAGTATTCGACGCATCTTGCAAAAGCTCCACTGGAATATCATTAAATGACTGCCTAAGGGTCGGACCCACCATACAACAGGATCTGTTTAGCATCATTCTCCGCCTGCGTCAGCACCGATATGCAATGTCTGCAGACATTGCAAAAATGTATCGACAAGTCAAAGTTATTGATGAGCACACTCATTTGCAACGGATTCTTTGGAGATGGAATGAAGATGAGCCTATTCGCACGTTTCGCCTCAAAACAGTCACGTACGGCTTAGCCTGTTCGTCCTTTCTAGCCATTAGATGCCTTCAGGAAATAGCATCGCAACATCAAAAAGAATGTCCTGAAGCAAGTAGGGCCATATTGAACGACTTCTACGTAGACGACCTACTAACGGGGGCATCCACAGTCAAAGAGCTCAAGCAGTTAAGACAAAGTACAACTAAAATACTAAACAGTGCTGGATTCGAACTGCGAAAATGGAGGTCCAACATACCGGAAATTAGCGATAAGAATACTTCCAACAATTCCATGGTGGAGATTGGCGAACCTACAAAAATACTAGGATTATATTGGGACGTAAATCAAGACGTATTTCAATACAGATTGCGGCTGTCAGAAGAAACAAGCAAAATCACCAAACGTAAGGTGTTAACTCAAGTGTCGCAAATATACGACCCCCTCGGATGGTTAGGGCCAAGCATAGTCAAAGCGAAAATATTGCTACAACGCTTGTGGCAAACCAATAAAGGTTGGGATGAGCCAATCTCAGGAGAAATGTTGGAAATGTGGAAGCAGTGGAGATCTCAAATTCACAACGTTCAACAAATTTCAATACCCAGGAGAGTATTAGAGAACCAACAAGATCGAACAGAACTACATGGGTTTTGTGACGCATCTGAAGCGGCATATGGTGCTTGCTTATACATTCGCAGCAGCACGGACGAAAACACATACAACACAAGGCTACTATGCGCCAAATCTAGAATAGCTCCCTTAAAAAAGGTATCACTGCCTAGATTAGAATTATGTGGAGCAGTTTTATTAGCACGCCTTTCCGAAAAGGCTTCACAAGCATTGAACATCACTGTTCATAATACATACTACTGGAGCGACTCAACGATAACTCTATCATGGATCGGGAACGAGCCTAACAAATGGCATACATTCGTCGCAAATAGGGTCGCTGAGATACAGCGCATCACCAACAAGGCAGCATGGTACTATGTAAAATCAGAGGATAATCCCGCCGATCCACTATCAAGGGGAATCAGCCCTGACAAATTAAAATCACAAACAATCTGGTGGGAAGGTCCAAAATTCCTTGCAGCGCAATACGAAAATGCAGCCATACGATTGCAAGGGCAACGAAGGTCACACGCCTGAAGGACGCAAGGTGAATCCAACAATTCTCGCGTCAGTTGAACTTAGTTCTATCATTGAAAGGTTTTCATCACTCGCTAAATTAAAGCGAGTAATAGCTTATTGTCTTAGATTCAAAAACAATTCATTAAAAACCGCAAATCAAACCAGCGGACCGTTGACGGTAAAAGAGTTAGAATCAGCAATATCGGCAATCGTTAAGGTCTGTCAGGCAAGTGAATTTTCACAAGAGTTAAAAGATCTCCATAAAAATAATAGAGTAGATATAAAAAGCAAACTCTCAACGTTACACCCATTCATCGATTCTAGCGGTACCATTCGTGTGGGGGGGAGGCTCCGTCACGCACCAATAGGATATTCACAAAAGCACCCTATCGTATTACCGCAAAAGCATCATCTCACCGAGTTAATTATAAGGGACACGCATTATAAAAACTTGCATGCAGGACCACAAGCGGTCCTAGCGGCAATTCGTAATGATTTTTGGCCAATAGCTGGTAGGAGCGAAGTACGTAGAGTACTGAGAAAATGTATCGTCTGCT